CTCATACAGCCCAGGACACCCTGCCCAGGAAATTATGCCACCCACAGCAGTGGGCCTTCCTCCAACAATTAAGACAGCTAAGACAGTTCCCCACAGAATGGCCACAGAGCACAGATGAGGAAAATTACTCCACTGAGACTCTTTGGGAATTCTAGACTGTCAAGTCGACAGACAATGCTAGCTAGGACACTTACCTATTTGAAATAGTGAGATCCACAGTTCCTCACTGGAAACCAGGAAACTTAATTACACCCTACTATGTATGTCATTCCTCTGTAATTACCACTGTATTCTGCTTTTACATGACTGTAATACCTTTCGAAGTGTATTATCACACTCAAGCCCTGGTAAATAAGATCTACTGTATTCTCAGTGCTGTTTGATACAGCATGTCTATAAGATTCCGTAAGTGTCTTACGACACCAGACACAGGACAAGCTCAAGCCATACTTGAGCAAGTGGACTAATGACAGGGGTAACAGGACAACTATGGGATCAAAATCAGCCTCAATAATATGTGATTTACACTGCAGGAGGACTCATGACACCTAACTAAAGTAATAGAAAAGAAAGTGGGGAATGCAAAACAAAATAAAAACAATCAGAAACTTTAGGAAAATGGTTTCCTAAGCAAATTGCTGGAGTGATCTGGGCTTCCTCACCCTATCTACAAGAGGAAGATAGTCTTTCACTGAAGAACACAGTTGGAATGGGAAGATCTGGCTGGCATTCTTTCCCCAAACAAGCCAGTGGGGTAGGGAGGTAGAAGAGTAAGTAATTAATTCCTTTTTAGGGCTATTCCAGTTTCATTCTGTTACTGTGATGTGACTGGCCAAAAGCAATTTAGGGAGATAAGTTTATTTGGCTTACCCATCAGGGTCACAACCCCTTTCTGAGGGAGTCAGGGCAGAAACTCAAGGCAGGAAACCGGACACAGGAACCAAGAGAGAAACTGCTTGCTGGCTCCCTCAGACTCATTCTCAGCTAGCTTTCTATTATAGCCCAGGACCACCTGTGTAGGGATGGTGCAGCACACAGTGGGCAAGGCCCTCCTGCATGTTAATAAGACAATTCCCCCACAGACATGGCCACAGGCCAATCAAATCTAGGCAGTTTCTTAATCCAGGCTTTCCTCTTAGATAACGCTAGGCGGTGTCAAGTTGACAAAGGTGAGGCAATAGCCAGGCTCTAAAAGTCATAAAAACACTCCTGAAAACTCCTCAAATGCAACAGGGAATAGAATTGCTTAGAAACCCCAGAAAAGGGTTCTTTACCTGAAACCCCCTCCCCCGTGCTTTCTATATCCCACAGTTAAATAATTTGATTTGTTTTGGTTACCAATACATTGTCTTCTTCAAACTCTAATTGATAAACTGACACTAACAATTAGTCAGTGAATACTAACTTCCTCTTCCCACCCCCGTAAGACTACCTTTAAAGGACTGCTAACCCAGATTTAAAGTCCAAGCACTGAATCATGGTTCAGACTTGCCCTAATACACACTTGGATCAGGAACTGTCCTATCAAGTATGTACAGCCAGGTTCTCCAATAGGACTGACAGGTGGTATAAATGAGTGATCAGCTGTAAAGCGATGGGGATCATGGAGTGTGCACCCTGTCAGGGGAAACCACTGCTTACCTCTGTGGTATTGTTGCCATTCAGAAATATGGACTCAATTTTGCCCAGACATTCCAGTTTTCAGGAGAGGATGTAAATCTATATTTTAGTGTAAAATATACTGTGTTGGGGGTGGTTATCTTTTTTTGTTTTTTGAGACAAGGTCTCCCTGCAGTCCCAGCTGGCCTGAAACTACTATGTAGACCAGGCTGGCCTCGAACTTGTGGAGATCTGCCTGCCTCTGCCTCCCAAATGCTGGGATTAAAGGCATGAGCCACCATGCCCAGCAAATACACTGAGTTTTAAGAATATTTATGGCTTAGAAGTGTCTTTGTGGGGTTTTATTAAAAAAAAATTTATATTTTTATTTTGTGTGCATATGTAAGTCAGGGGACAGCATGTAGGTGTCGTTTCTCTTCCACCATGTGGATCCTGGGATTGAACCCAGATAATCAGGCTTGGGAGCAGGCTCCTTTATTGGCTGAGTCCTCTCACCCACCTGAAAGTGTCTTTTATTGTCAGTTCATGATGCTGATCGAAGGAAATGGACCTACTGAGAAAACAGAAAATGTCCAAGTAGGGGGAGGTATTTAGTCCAAAAGAGGACAGTGAAATCAAAGAGGAAGAAAGGGAAGATGAGGCACAGAAAAGAAAGTGACAGAAAGTCTCGTGACCTCAGAACCTTGCCAAGGGAGGGCCAGTCTGTCATATAGTCTGAGAGGAAACAAGGCAGATGTCCAGCAGGAAGAAAAGAAGAATCACCTGTTGAGCAACATTCACTAGGTGGCAGACGCAAATAGGGTGTTGCTTCTCTGATGTGGCAACGCCAGGAGAAAACCGCATGCGTGAGAAAAAAAAGACTAGAGGGAAACACATTGCAACACTAACAGCAACATGTCAGACAGTGCTTTTCTCATCCTCCATTTTCAGCTATAACTACGGAGCTATGTTAATTTTATGGCCCAAATAAGGTAGGTTTCTGAGTTAAAATCCACCCATCCTGGGGATGGAGAGATGGCTCAGCAGTTAAGAACACTGACTGCTCTGGCAGAGGACCCAGGTTTGATTCCTAGCACCCACATGGCGGCTACGAACCATCCTTAACTCCAGTTCTAGGGGAATCCGAAGCCCTCTTCTGACCTCCATGGCATTGCACGACACAGGTGCGCTCACATACATGCAGGCAGTACACTCATACACATAAAATAAAAATAAATATTTTAAAAAAAATCCACCCATCCTAGAGTGTAGACAGTGCATTGCCCCAGGCCAGGCTGCAGCTCAAGGTTTGAGCAGGGATGTGCAAGGTCCCCGGGTTCCATCCCCAGCTCCATGACCACCACAAAAGCACACTACCATAAAGTAAACCACTCAGCACACTGAATAGTTAAATTTAAAAAGTAACAATTCCGAGCGTATGTAATATATAACTATGTAACAGAAGACCAGAACCACACAGGTGACATGGACAGGAGAGGTTAAATTACAGAAGTATGTGCCATTTTTAGTATGTGGCAAGTTGTTTTCCTACCAAGACACTTTGTATGTGGCCTACATAATTAAAGAAGATACAGTGTTCAGTAAAAACTTTTAGAATTCTGCCCATGTGTCACATAGTTGTCTACAGTCACTGTCTTCATTCTCATAGGCATGAACAACTTATATATTGGTATTTAAATAATGCTTTTTTTAGGGATTTCAAAAGTAATAGATTCGCCCACCACCACCACCACTACCACAAATGAAGTATATTGTCTCAGGCCATTTGGGTTCTAAGCAATCTAAATCTCCAATTAACCTCTATCAAATACACATATTCAGTTTCATCTTGTTCACCAGTGAAACCCTAACCTAAATAGTTCAAGTGAAATTTCAGGGGAAAAATACTGTTCAAAAACCTAGATAATGTATTCCTTTGCTGATGCTAAATATAGTCTTCTCAAGATGACATACATTTTGACAATGATCTGCCTTACATGTCAAATTTTCAAAAATAGCACAGATTCCATTTTAAGGTAAGCATGAAAAAATTGCTCCTCCTGTTTCACTGGAAAGTAGACTTTAAAGTGCAAATCTCTGAAAACTGGATTGTGTCCACAGTCATAATGAGGAAAAGTGGACTTAAAATTTGCTGTAGTTTTTGTTTAGTGCTAAGAGACCTGTTGCAGGTAATGTTCAAAATTGTACACATTTTTCTTTACATTACTCCTCAGACACAGCCATCAAGATACAAAATGTTGAGCTGTGCCTCATGGTCCAGGCCTGTAATCCCAGCTACTCACCAGGCTGAGACAGGAGGATCCCAAGTTCTGCCTGACCTACAGAGTGAATTTTAGGCTAGCCCAGGCCACTTAATAAGACTATGTCTCAAAAAGTAAAAAGAGGTCTGCGATATAATACAGTCGAGAGTGAACTGCGTCAAAATCAAAGGTCATTTATACCAAATGAAACCCACCCCAATCAAAACTAGTTTCCCTTTATTTGATTAATTACACACCTTTTTCATACAAATACTCCAAACTCAAAAATAACTTCAGAGACATGCATTTTGAATGTTCTTACGGCAGCTGTTTGACCTATAAAAGGGAATTGGGGGAATTTTGTGTGGTTCGCTCGATAACGTGACCAACATGGACTAAACCCTAGAGCGTATTCAATCACACCACGGAGATAGCTGTGCGGTGACTCCCGCGGCTCCCGCTGCATACGCTCGTTAACAGCATTTGGCTGAGGAGCGACGATCCCTTTGGCCGAGCGTTTCCGGCTGCTTTTCCTTGCCGGCCTCTTCCCAAGGGCGGTCTTTTTGTGAGGACAGACCCCTGGCTATTTTTACCTTCTTATCTCTCCCTCCCACCTCGCTGTCGACATGTGGCCTTAAAATAAAACGAGTATCTGAAAGTCTTTAGTAATCACCTCATCCCTCAACTTGGTCATTTTTCTTACAAATACGAATCTTTTTTTTCATTTGAAGAACAGCCCAAGATTTATACATAGGATGTTGTCAAAACGCAGACCGAGAGACCGTTCCAAAGGTGGCCACTTTATTCACCCCAACTTGGAGGTAGCTCAGCCCCCAAGCATACCCTCACCTGGGGTGGGGGGGACCCGGGAGGTGCTAAGTACTCAGTCCCCAGTCTCCACGGGCATCAGGGATCTGCTGGCCCAACCGGAGCCCGGCGGGACACGTGCTGGGGGCCACGGGAGCTGCACCGCGCGGACCCCAGCCCGGGACACGCGCCTCTCGGCTCCCTGGGAACTGGCCCCCAAACTCAGCCGGCCGCGCCGAGCCGAAGCCCGGGAGCCCGCAAGTGGCCCAGCCAGAGCCCAGGCCGGTGCCGGAGCCCCGCAGCCGCCCGCAGCGCTGCTACCCGCGCTCCTACCGGTGCGCCGTCCTCCTCCTCCCGGTGTGCGCTGCGCGCTGCTCCCGCTGCACCCGCTGCTCCCGCTGCACCCGCTGCTCCCGCTGCACCCGCTGCACCCGCTGCACCCGCTGCTCCGGCCGCCCGGGGCCCTCTGGCTGCCGCCGCTGCGCTCCAGCAGCAAGTTTCCATAAAAGTCCTGGTGCGCAGCCTGTTCCCGCATTCCAGACGGGCCCAGCGCCGGCTGCAGCTGTTCCAAGACAAGGCCAGTCCCCAACCCCCACCTCCGCCACAGCACCAGGGGAGGGGAGGAGAGAAGAGTCACCGCGGAGGCAGGCGGGGGCGGGGGTGCCAACTTTCCCCACAATTTGCCAGCCGCCTGGCCCAGGTGCCAGCTGACCCCCTAAACCTGGGCCTGCCAGCCTCCGGCAGGGCCTGTCTCCCTGTGGGGAAAAGGCGATGCTCAATGGGACCGGGCTGCCTGGAGCAACGCTGGCACTTCCCTGGGATCTCTACCTGTCCTAGGGTCCCATGAGAAGGGCTGACTTTGGCTAGCTTTTCCTTTTCCAGGGAGAGCATGGGGCGGCAGTCTGAAATGGCTTCCTCCGTTTGTCTGTTGCTCTCCTTTTCTTAATCCTGCTCCCTAACTCCTAATGCAGTTAATAGAAAAAAAGGTTGAAGGTAGAGGAACCCAATCCACCATCCTTAACTGAAAGCCAATTACCTCTGATTTTCCTAACCATAAAAGCATGTGTGAATATCAACACCACAGACCTTTTCAACCTCCATCACAACCTACCAATCAAACCCATGAAATAGCAGCACATTAAGCCATGACAGCACTCAGAGACCGCATGTTTGGAGAGGGGCTGTTGCTCAGTACTAGCGGAGTGTTGATTTCACACAAGCCCAAGGTTCATTTCTCAGAACCACACACCACAGTGTTCCTAATGGGACCAGCCATGGTGCCCTATCCCAGCACTTAGGAGGCAGAGCCAAGATCAGGAGTTCAAAGCCAGCCTGGTCTACATAGGGCGTTCCAGGGCTACCTAGTGAACCATGTTTCAAAACCAACAGACAACCAACCAACCACAAAAGTCAAACAGGAGGTCTGGATGAGCTGTCCCTCTCTCCTGTCAGTGCCCTCACCCTGGCCTTCAGTTCATGGAAGTTTCTGCAGGCTTTCTGGTGGCAGAGCCTCCACACAAGTCGTCCCCTCTGTACAACACTCTCTTGCCCTGACTCCGTGCCTAACTTGAACACGTCCTTTGGACACCATTTGAATGCCACTTCCTCTAGGAAGCCTTCCTTCCATCACAGTCGACCTGTTGAAAGAGTTGCTTGTCCCACCAGTTCCTATGCTTCATGCCGTATATATGTTTTTGAGACAGGGTCTCGCTGTGTAGTGCTGACTGACCTGGAACTCTTATGTAGACCAGGCTGGCCTCAGACTCCCAGGTTCGCCTGCCTCTGCCTCTCTAGTGCTGGGATTAAAGGTGTAAACCACCACATCCAGCCCTCATGGTGTATGTTAAACCCTTTCTTCTGAGATGTAAAGAGTTAGACTCTTTTTTTTGAGACAGGGTCTCCCTGTAGACCCAGCTGGCCTGGAACTTGCTATGTAGACCAGGATGGCCTCAAACTCAGAGATCCCCCTGCCTCTGCCTTGGAAGTGCTGGGATCAAAGTTGTGTGCCGCCACGCCCAGCTTGGGTTAGACGCTTTCTAATTCTGTATTTCTATTCAATAGTTTCATCATGCAAAGCTTTCAAATCGCTCCATAAAACCCTGAGAGTAGGCTCCCTACAGTGTCAGGGTTAATAGTCATTGTCAACCTGACACAATCCAGAATCATCTGGGGAGAAAAAAATCAAAAATCTCAATGTGCGATTGTCTAGGCAAGGCTGGAGAGATTTCCTTAACTGGGTTAATTTAGGTGGGAAAATGTACCCTAAAAATGGGCTTCACCATTTCTTGGGGTTGGGTCCTGGACTGTATAAAAGAAGAAAAAGTTCAATCTCTCTCTCTCTCTCTCTCTTCTCTCTCTCTCTCTTCTCTCTCTCTCTCTGTCTCTCTTACTTCTCTCTCTCTCTCTCTCTCTCCCTCTCTCTCTTTCTCTCTTCTGTTGTTAGAGGACAAGGTCTCATTATGCAGCCCTGGCTGGCCTGGAACTTAATATGTGAGCCAGGCTGGCCTCAAACTCACAAATATCCTCCTGCCTCTGATTCCAGAGTGCTGGGATTTAAGGAGTGTTGGGGTTTAAGGCATGTACCACCACCCTTCCCATTTCTCTGCTTTTGACTGTGGGTGTGACGTGACTAGCTGCCTTGTGTTCCCACCAGCATGATTTCCCCCAAATGAGAACTGTAACCTGGAATTGTGAACCAAGTAAATCCTTCCTCAAGTTGCTTTGGTCAGGATACTTTACCACAGCAATAAGAGAAACTAAGATGTAGCACGCAGGGGCTGCCTGCTCTCCCAGTGCCATCATTCACTCAACACATCATCAGTTCCAGAAAGCAGCACAGCACTGACAAGCTCCGGCTCTCAGGGCACATTCTAGTGGAAGGCGGCAGACAAGCACATGAGTAAGCTACATCAGTACTTAGTGATGTGCGTGTGGGTAAAATCAGCAGGGTCATGGGGAATGCTGGGAATGGGCTGAGTGTATATTATCATTTTAGTGGCTACAGAGAGTCTCATGTGAGTAGAAGTCTTGAGGAAAGTGAGTCAGTGTATTTGTGTGTTTTTATAACTATAATAAAATAGCTGAGGCTTTGCAACTTCATAAAGAAAGGTAAGGTTTGTTTAGCTTATAATTCTGGAAGTTCAAGAGCATGGTTCTGGGATCAGCTTGGCCCAACTTTACTGACTGAACCATCGCCTCAACTCAGGTCCCCCAACTCTATTTCCATGGCAACACAATGGCACAGAGTTTGTGGAAAGAGACAGCACATGGAGACAGGAAGGCAGCATGCAGGAGGGACTAGTGATGACCTCTCTAGACACCAGCTCTTCTTGTCATGTGTGTGGTGTGCATGCATGTATGTTGGTATGTGTGTGGATGCATGTGTGCACTTGGAGGCCAGGACAGCCTTGGCATTGGGTCCTCAGGCACTGTTTCCTCGGGTGCTGTTCACCTCTTTTTGAGACAGGGTCTCTCACTGCCCTGGAGCTCACTAATTAGGCTCACCTGGCTGGCCAGTGAGCTCCAGGGATCATCCCGTCTCCACCTCCTCAGTGCAGGACTGTAAGCATGCACTGTAATGCTGGGCATTTTCACTTGTGAGATCTGGCAACAGAACCAGATCCTTATACCTGTAAGGCCACTTTACTGACTGAACCATTGCCTGGACTCAGGTCCCCCCAACTCTTCAAGGTCTCACTGGCTCTTAACAACACTATACAGGGCCAAGCATCCAACACAGTTTATGTGGCAAACCACATCCAAACCACAGGAGGCAGTGAGCTAGGTAAGAATCTAAAGATATGACTATCTGAGGAAGAACAGTTCAAAGAAGGATCCCATGTGAGCACCCTAGGAAGGACAAGCAGGTTTGTATGGCTGGAGCTTAGGACACGAAGAATGAAATACCACACGTGTTTGGGATTTTATTCTAAGATAGGCTGCCACCATTGGGTTTTAGACAAAGTGGTGATGTGATATGACCAGTTTGCAGTGTATTCGTTCTCGCTGATGTGCGACAGATATACTGACGGGGCAACGGAGGAAGCAAGAGACCAAGAGGCAGCACAGGATCACAATAAGAGGTATGGGAGTTTGATAGCTGGGACGTGAATGAGAGATGCGTGGCACATTGTTAGGTGGAACAGGCAGGCTTTTAAAAGACTGACTGCAAGGTATGAAGAGGGGTTTCTTGCCTTTGAAGTGGAGAAGTAGAATTGTCATTCTCTCTGATGAGAAGCACAGGGAAGAAGACTTGGGGTGGAGGAGGGGGAGTAAGCAGTGACGTGCTAAATTGGAGTTAGCAGAAACCCAAAATTTGCAAACATGTATACGAAGTCCTTTGTATTTATCATGAATGGAGTTTGTTCTTAAACTTGGCTAGTTGTATTTTATGGCACAAGGGTTCCAAACAGGGGCCTTACATGTTCCACACAAGTGCTCTGCCGTTGAACTATACCTTTGGCCTACTTTCAAAGTAGATAAGTATCCAAAAAATAAATAACTCCTGTTCCGGGGACTGTGATGCTCTCCTTTGCATGGGTGTGCTTACATGCAGGGAAAACACTACCATTAAGCTTGATGTGGGAAGACAAACATAAAAATATTGGGTACAAATTCACAAAGCTAGTGAAAGTCCACAGTCCCTTTTATTTCACCTTTAAAAGTAAGGGATGCTGGGCATGGTGGGGGACACAAGGCATAATGGTGCATGCTTTTGATCCCAGCACTCCAAGGCAGAGGCAGAGTGGTCTCTGTGAGTTTGAGTCTAGCCTGATCTACAGAGCAAGTTTTAGGCCAGCCAGGGCTACACTGTAAAACAGCGCCCTCCCAACAAAAAATGGACTTGAAGGGTAAGGTGTATAGCACAGTGGAAGAGCGCATGCTTAGCATGTGTAAGACCCTGAGTGTAAAAACATGTGAAGAAAAAAAAAAAGGGTTTGGAAACTCCAAATGATGACAGAGAGGGATGTGGTTTATGCAACAAATGCACCTTGGAATGGAGTGAGCCCATTCTCAACTAAAGGTCTTGGTGCCACATCAAGAAATTGACCAAAGGGTGTATACTTCCCACTTAAAATTAAAATAGCTACATTATCTATGTATTATTTATTTTTGTAATACTGCTTCTTTGAAATTATTTTTATGTGTATGAATGTTTTACCCGCATATAAGTACACCATGTGTGTGCAATGCCCCCAGAACTGGAATTACAGATGGTTGTCAGCCACCATGTGTGTGTTTAACTGAACCTGGGTCATTTGCAAGAATAGGTAAGCATTTCTCCAGCCCCTGTATAATTTATTTTGAAAGATAGTTTTATTATTGTGTATGTGTCATACACCTGCACAGTATGCAGGTGGAAGGCAGATGACAACTTCTGGGACTCATTTCTCTCATTCCACAGGGTTCCAGGGATCATGCTCAGTTTGAGGGGCAAGGACTTTTACCCACAAAGCCATCTCTCAGGCCCAATTTATGATTTTGAACTGTGGTATTCAGCCAGCAAGAAGACTCTAAATAATGTTGGCCCCTGGCAGTTACACTGTGCAGAGCTCGCCCACACTGTGACAGGGT